ACCAAAAAGGTCAAAGCCAGAATTAGAAAAAACAACATCCAAAACCTGAGGTGAGGATCAGCCCAGGGACGGAGGGCCAACTGCCTTGACCGCTGAGGGCCCTGTCACAATGGGGTCTGCACAGGGTTCCGGGCACAGAATAGGGAACCACCACTCTCAGGACGGTGGGGAGATGGGGCACTCTTGCACAGTGTGACCAACGCACGTGACAGATGAGGCCTGGGGCTGTTCAGGCGCACAACGGACGGTGAGTGGTGCCATGGGGGAGCTGGGCTGCATGGCGCAGCACTGTTGCAAGGGCTTGGGGGTGGCCGCGGGAGACCACGCCGGACCCGTCTGCACAGGCGGAGTGCTCGGGTCCTGTAGGCACCAGGGCTCCACACAGGGAGGGCCATTAGTGACACAGGTCTATTTAGTGCAGGAGACTGGGCAGGCATCACATGAACTCAAGCAGGGGAGACTCTAGGATTAAACCAGAAGAAAACACCCTACATGAGGTCAAGGGATTGAGACCATCCTGGCCAACATGGTGAAACCCTGTCTCTACTAAAAATACAAAAATTAGCCGGGTGTGGTGGTGCACACCTGTAATTCCAGCTACTTGGGAGGCTGAGGCAGAAGAATCACTGGAACCTGGGAGGAGGAGGTTGCAGTGAGTCGAGATGGTGCCACTGCACTCCAGCCTGGGCAACAGAGTGAAACTCCATCTCAAAAAAAAGAAAAAGAAAAAGAAAAAGAAAAAGAAAACAGCCCAGTGCGGAGGGGTGGCAGGGGCGTGGCCAGTCCACACAGACCGGGGTCCTCTCCACAGCACAAAAACCCCCAGAATTCCTGCAGGCCTGGTCCCATTGCCTCAGACTTCCAGGGCTAGGTCTAGCCTGGGGAGGGGACATTAAAAGAGGGACTTTTTTCTTAGATAAACTGGTCATTTCATCAATTTTGAAAACTATCAAAAAGCAGAACCCATGCTCATTTCAGGAGAACTCCATTTCCAATACACACAAGTGAGGGGAGGAACGTTTCCTTCATGCGACAAAGGTGTGCCCACCTGTAATCACACAGACTATGCAGCTCATTTCTGCGGCCACAACAGCACAATTTTCACAACTTAACAAATCACATTAACACCCTTTCGTATGTAAATGGCTGGTAGTAACTTAAGTAAAACTGATAGTTTGGTGTAAATTACACATTCAGATTAAAAAGAGAAGAAAATTTTATCAAAAGTTGACTTATTCAAATGAACTACAGCCCAGTATGTGTCTTCCTCAAGAAAGACAGGCACAGCTGAAGACTTGTGTATGATGTGCCATTGGAAACTGACCTGCTGCTGTTCAGGTTAATCACACACACTTCAGAACACATACACAGACAGCTATCTGCTGCCACATTATTAGTGTTACTCAAGTAAAACAGTGTTTGACTTTATTCAAACTCAGCTTACCATCTGCAAGTCTGTCTTCAGATAACAGCTTTTTTCCTCATTGATCTTAGAAATTTCTAGCTCACTTCAAGCAAGGCTAAATAATTCAAAAACCAGTTTTGACCACTTTACGTAGTTTAAGAACATGAGGCCAGGAGTTCGAGACCAACTTGGGCAACATGGTGAAACCCCGTCTCTACTAAAAATACAAAAATTAGCCGGGAATGGTGGCACGTGCCTGTAATTCCAGCTGCTCAAGAGGCTGAGGCAGGAGAATTGCTTGAACTTGGGAGGCAGAGGTTGCAGTGAGCCAAGATCGCACCACTGCACTGCATCCTAGGTGACAGAGCAAGACTGTCTCAAAACAAAACAAAACAAAAAACTAAAGAAAGAAATAAGTCAAAAAGGTTTGATTTTATTTTTATTTATTAAAAAAAAAATTTTTTTTGAGACCAGGTCTCACTCTGTGGCCCAGAATGGAGTGCAGTGGTGCGATCACAGCTCACTGCAGCCTTGAACTCCTGGGCTCAAGCCAACCCCGCGGGTCCACCTCTCAAAGCACTGGGACTGCAGGTGCGAGCCCCTCCTCCACCATTTTATGTAACAGTACTAAAAACAGCATCTAAAACACAGGTGATGCTCGTAGTACCGACTGCGTGGCTGCTTTCACTTATGCAAGTGTTTTGTAAAACTGCAGTTTAGAACTAAATCTCACCAGTGTCACTTTAGTGCACACATCTGTCCTACAATCATGCTTCTACTGATGAGAATCACAGCACACAACAGACCCTGACTCAAGATGTGACATCTCCACGTCGTTCTGCTCTAGGAGGTGCTGGCCCATTTGCCGCCTGGCCCACAACAGCCCCACAGGCCAGGCTCCACCTTGCTGTCCTCAGAAGAGTCCAGGAGTTTTGCTACCCAGCTGGAGGGGTGGAATTAACTAACTCAAATGAAGAAATAAGAGTAACACCAAAGGGCTAAGCGCTGGTGTTATGGAAAGAGACCTGTTCCCAGCCCCTGGAAACACCACAGTAGTAGGAGCGCTGCAGGCTGGGCCTGAATGGCTCCAGGGCAAAGCTGGTCACCAGGAGGCTTTGGCAGGAAAAGGGGGCAGCGGGGGACCAGCCATGCCCTCGCCACTGAGCTTCCGGGGGGCACACACCATGCTCCCCCTCCTTTGGCTGTTCTTGAGCCTTTAACCTGGTAATGTTGAGTGAAATGTTTTCCTGAGTTTCCTGAGCTGATTCAGATTATCAAAACTGCACAAGTCTGAGTGTGGGAACCCCCAATACTGCAGCTGAGCTGGACGGCAAGGAGGCCTGGGGGTCCGAGATGAGGGCAGCCTGGTGGGACTGAGCCCCTAGACTCAGGGCCTGATGCCACCTGTGGTCATCAGCATCAGAAACAAACTGAACTGCAGGCACCTGCTATTGTGGAAGAGGCAAGCACTAGAAAGTGGACACTGGGCCGGGCGCGGTGGCTCAAGCCTGTAATCCCAGCACTTTGGGAGGCCGAGGCGGGTAGATCACGAGGTCAAGAGATCAAGACCA